TAGGATCTAGAACCTTTGATTGTGTATTTATTGGCTATGCTAAAAATAGTTCTGCTTACAGATTCATGAACTTAAATGACTATTCAATTTGTGAATATAGAGATGTTGTGTTCTTTGAAAATATATTTCCCATGATAAAATATGTTAGTGAATCTAGTGGAGACTTAGAACTAGTGCCTACGTCTGTTCCTCATACATATGATTCTATGATAGAACTTATGACTAATGTTGAGAATCCTGAACCTAGGAAAAGTAAAAGGCAGAGAACTAATAAAAGTTTTGGAACTAATTTTTAACTACCTTTTTGATTGAAAATTGTGATAAGATAGATGATCATTTTGCTTGCATGTATTTAATAGATGAAGATCATAAAACATACCAAGAAGCAATCAATTCAATAGATTCTAGCTTATGGAAGAATGCAATTAGAAGTGAGTTAGATTCCATAGTTCTAAATCAAACTTGGGACTTGGTAGATCTACCTGTAGGAAATAAACCTATTAGAAGCAAATGGATCTTTGGAAGGAAAATGAGACCAGATGCTTCAATAGACAAATACAAGGCTAGATTAGTGGTTGTAGGTCACACAGAAATTTGGTATTGATTATTTTGATACATATTCTCCTGTAACCAAAATAGCCACTATTAGATCTCTAATTGCTCTTGCTGCTATTCATGGCCTGTTAATATATCAGATGGATGTAAAAACAACATTTCTTAATGGAAATTTAGAAGAAGAGATATATATGACTCAACCTGAGAAGGTCTTGTAGTGGTTGGTCAAGAAAATAAAGTATGCAAGCTTAAAAAATCACTCCATGATCTAAAACAAGCTCCCAAACAGTGGTATGAAAAGTTTAATAGTACTTTAGTAGACAATGGCTATAAAGTAAATTGTTGTGATACATGTGTTTATTCAAAGAGTCTTGGAGCTGAATGTGTGATTATTTGCTTATATGTTGATGACATGCTGATTTTTGGTACAAACTTAGATGTCATTAATAATATCAAGTTATTGTTGTCTTCATATTTTGAAATGAAAGACTTAGGAGAGGTCGATGTAATTCTTGGTGTAAAAATAAAGAAAAATGATAAAGGTTTCTCTTTATGTCAATCACATTATATTGTTAAAATGTTGAAGAAATTTGACTGCTTTGATAAACCACCTGTTAGAACACCCTATGATGCGAGCATAAGTCTTAAGAAAAATAAAAGTGATAATGCATCTCAATCTTAATACGCAAAGATCATAGGTAGTGTTATATTTTTAATGAACTACACTAGACCTGATATTGCATATGCAGTTAGTAGATTGAGTAGATATACACATAATCCTAGTAAAGAACATTGGAATGCTCTTCATCATTTATTAAGATATTTAAGAGAGACAATGGATTATAGTTTGCATTTTAACAAATTTCTTGCTGTGTTAGAATGATATTGTGATGCAAACTGGGTTACAGATAACGATGAGGTAAGCTCCACTAGTGGATATGTGTTTATTTTAGGTGGAGGAGCTATATCGTGGAAGTTAGCAAAACAGACGTGCATAACACGTTCCACCATGGAGTCTGAGTTCATAGCACTCGAACTAGCAAGGCAAGAGGCTGAATGGCACAAAAGTCTTCTTGGAGACATGCCATTGTGGGGGGCATTTGTGCCAGTGTCCATACACTGTGACTCCCAAACTGCCATAGGGATTGCCAAAAACAGTGTGTACAATAGCAAGATGAGGCATATACGCTTGAGACATGGAGCTGTGAAACAGTTACTAAAAGGCGGGGTAATACCCTTAGAGTATGTAAGGTCCGAGAGGAACTTGGCAGATCCTCTCACAAAAGGCCTAACAAGGAGATTAATCCTTGATTTGTCGGCATGTATGGGGCTAAAACCCCTGATACATTAATTGTGAGTCCATAGCCCTTATTGGGTGGTCTATGCGTAGACTTGATGGATTATTGATGAGTAACGTAAATCCATAGCCCAGTCTTTGGGTGGTCTATTCATAGACTTGATGGATTATTTACAAAGTCTTCATAGCTCAGTTTTTGATAAACTTTATGAAGCACTAACGTGATTGTAAGGGTGAGGTCGCCTTCTACGAAAGAGTTTATGGTCTCTTTCAAGAGCTTTCACGTGACCCAAGGTTCTATGTGCATGGCTATTAAAAAGCACTTGTTGTATATTGCGGAATCGAAATGAAGGATTAAAATGTGTTGTGGGGGTCTCAACCATAATTATTGAAAGTTCAAGAGATAACTCACTTTCACTACTTAGGTTGTTGTCTCACTTCACTATACATTAATTCAAATCGTAAGATATTAATACTTAAGTTTTATTCCTATATTTGTTCAGAATTTTACTATTTTTATATTTTCTCCTTTTGTCGTTTGTGGGGGATTGTTAGGAATATCAAAAGGGAAAAATAATAATTTGATGGCATTTGGGCTTCTTTGATCCTCCTCCACTACTGGGCCCATTAAAATCAAAGTCAATTTTAACTTAGTAAAACAGTTGGGATTTCATTTGGAGTTTGTAAACACATTTCCTCCAAGGTCGGTCAATTGGTGAACGATTTTATTTTGAGTGGTGAGTATTTTACCTTTTATTATTTTAAATAATAAAATGAGAAAAAGTGCTTGCCATCCAACCCTATATATACCCTCCATCTTCTCATTTACAAGACACCATTATGGATAACATTCTTCTCCTTTCTAATTCTCTCTCAATTCTCTTTCCACTTTCTGTTTTTCAAGTTTGTTTTGAGCTGATTCCAATCCGTTTTTCGGCGAGTGCACGCCAGAATTCGAGTGTTGTGTTAACCTTGGGAAGCAACTGGCAATTAACGATTCAGCATCGTGGTGGCGAATTTTGCTTTCAAGGTAGTGGGTTCCACGACACAACAATGTCTTCTTCCTCATATTGCTCCAATAGGTTTGAGCAGTCTGATCCGATCATCTTGACTCGATTTAGTTCACGTTGTTTCTTTAACCTCATTTCATGTAAGTTAACACGATAATTTCACCAACACAATATTATGAAAAGGGTCATATTCTTAAATGGTAGTGTGAAATTTAATTATCGCCTTCATTTTGTGTACTTCGTAATTAGTCTTCTTTTTTTTCTCTGCTTGAAATGACTTGCAATTAAGTTGTTAGATGAACTTTTAATTCAAGTAAGAACGATTAGGGTTTTAAGTTAGGCATAGGTGAAAAAGATTCAACTAACATTAAGGAATCGTTACTCATACAATACCAAAATTTTAAAAGATCACCTAAGAACTTTTAAAATTGAAAATAAGATTGAAACTTCTATAACATTAACCAAAAATGATATATTTATGACAAAAGTTCAAATTTTTATCGTTGAACTTGGTCGGTTGAATTAATTTTTTCTCTGAACTATAAATTTAATTAAATTTGAACCTTAAAGTTTGAATAAATGTCGCAATTTTTGTTAAATTTTTCAAAATCACTAAAAAAAATTCTTAAATGTGTTTAATAGACTATAAAATGGAGAACTACTTAAAAAAAACTTATATTTAGTGAAAAATAGTCAACTTTCTTTTTTTGTTAAAATCGGTGAATTTTGAGGCCAAATCGAACATAGCTCAACTGATTAATGTACTAATTTTCAACCAAAAGATTTTGAGTTCGATTTCATATCCCTTGTTGACTAAAAAAAATGGGTGAGTTTTGAGATATTTTATTTTTGTTTTTCTTTTGACAAATATATTTATTTATTTTTTGTTAATTAAAGGGGAATGCAATGGAAATTGAATACAAGGTAAGAGTGCTGCTCCCTGCTGGTACCCCTCCCCAACGATTGTCAATTTATTTTGGAATAAATTTGTTAGAGGCACAATTTACATATTTCTACAAAATCCTACTATTACTAGTGACTTTTTAAACAAAAGAAATTTGATATCTTTGAAATTCATTGTATTAATTTCCAATTTGCATTATGCTCTTTATTATCTCGGCTCATAATTCAACTCTCATGTATTTATCTATCGAGCTTCAAAGTTTTCACTTTTATGGAAACGTTGAAAAAGAAAAATATGAATTTTTTATGAAAGACGACTCAAAATATTTGTTCTTAGGGGCTCTACAATCTTAATATTTAGGCCTCACCCGACAACTATTGATATTTAAAAATAACATTAGACTTTTTGTTGTGATATTGTTCTTAGGGCGAAATAAAATTAACCTATAAAATTAGTAGGGGTGCACATCGATTTAGTTCGATCTCTTGGCTTTGACCTAAATCGAGAACCGAACCAACGACTTCAATTTTTTAAAATACCAAACCAACCAATGTTGAAATAAGTAAAGAACCGATCAATTTAGTCTTCTTTGATTCGTTTTTTCGATTTGGGCTTATAGGGCTTTTATATTTGAGAAAGATAAATAATTATTGAGCCACGATCTTCGAAGCAACAATGGAGTGAGTATAGTTTTAAATATATGTTGACACGTCAACATTTCCATTGACATGTCTACATATCTATGGGTTCGACATCGACATGAGGAGTAAATCAATATTTCCATCACAGTACACACAAATCAACAAAATATGAAAGATATCAACAAAATGCCACTAATATAGACATAATTTTAATATTAAGTATTTTTAACTTATTACAATTTTTTTATTTTTCTAACTTTTATATAAATATCTACTGATATCGATATTTTATCGATATTTCCATGAAATTGAGATCTCGACATTTCTATTGACATCGATATTTAAAACCTCGGGAGTGAGAGGGATAGGAAGAATTGACTAGGAGGCTAGGAATTGACTATTTCTAGGATTTTTCCTTATATATATAATATATGTCGGTACCGGTTCGGTTTGAATTTTTTTGGTTTTCCTAATCCACAATCGAACCAAGCCGAAATTTTTTTGATTAATGAAATTTAAGGTAAAAATTGATTTTATATACATATATATATATTTCTCTTTCATAAAAAGAAAAACCATGTCTGCTTGTTGCTTTACAATGAAACTCTAAATCTCCCGCCAAATTGGGCACTGCATTTCCCTCCAAAATTTCCAGCGGCGGCGATATATAATCGACGAACTCAGTTCTTCGTCTTCCCATTTTGGATCTATCTTCGACTTCATCACTGCCGGTCATCGGCGATCATTATTCCGATCAAGTTTTGTCCACTCGTCGATGTGTGATCTTCGAATTAGGGCAAAGATCCATCAATTTGTGGAAACTCAAACAACGATACCACAGCTGCGTTCCGGTTTCTTCCGATGAGTGCCGTCAACATCACGAACGTCACCGTTTTGGATAACCCTGCCGCGTTTCTGAATCCATTTCAGTTCGAAATCTCTTACGAGTGCTTGACTCCGCTTAAAGACGGTAATCTTTTTCATTTCGTTAGATCGTATCATGTCATCGCTAATCCATGTTGTTGGACTATGAACGATAGTTTAAACAGTTGCTATTGGGATAATTAGATGTTGGGATGAGTTTTTTTAACCGGATTCATCGGAATAAATTGGAACTGGAAAGGCATTTGAGGGATTGATTTTCGAATAGCTTAAGGTTGAGTTGAAAGGAAGATTGGTCCTTGCGAAATTTGGAGAACACTAAAATTAGATATGTAATTTGATTTTGGAATAGTTTAAACAGTTGATATTGGGATAATTAGATGTTGGCTTCAATATTTTTACCGGATTCGCGGACTAAATTGGAACTGGAAAAGCATTTGAGGGACCGAATAGCTTAAGATTAAGTTGAAAGGAAGATCGGTCCTTGCAAAAGTAGGAGAACCCTAAAATTAGATATGTGATTTGTCCTGTAAAATCGACATTTATGTATTTTTAGTGACTTATCTGCAATAATTTCTTTAGTTACATTTTATGGAAGAAAACTTTATGCCCCTGATATCCTTTATATAGTACGCATTTAAAATTCCGTTGATATCTTGTAACGAAATACTTGTATTCTTATGATGTGCTTTTTCATGCTTAGATTTTAATGCCTGGGCCTTGCCAGTTTCTGCTAGAATTTTGTTCTTTCTACTGATCTGTTCTGAGATCTTCTTTGAGGGGTATTTGTATTTATAGCTGATTTTACCAAAAAGAGTCTCCCTTCTGGGCCCTTAACATTAGTATCCCTAATTCTTCTTTCAAAAGTTGTTAATCTGTGGGTTTGGAACGAGAATTGAAAAAAGTACTTTTTAAATAGAAACACTTCTTCTATAAGTATATTAGGAATAATTACTAATTTTTTTGTTGCCTTTAAGTATATCTTTTTAAGTGATTGTAGACAAAGCAATTTAAAGTATTTGGTAATAAATATAGAGCATTTAAAAAAAATTCAAATTTTTTTAAAACATTATTTTTAAGAAGATGATCTAAAAAGTGAATTTAAAGCGATTGACACCTTTCCCTTGAGAGATAATTATCCAGAAAAAAAGTACTTAAATTTAGTATTCTCATTTCTTTTTCAACTAATATTTATAATTACTTGTCTGGATCGATGTATTCTATTGTGGTTTATGACTAAGTAGTACTACGTTCAGAAACCAACTCTTGTAACATGCTATCTCTTTGATTATTCTATAGATCTGGAATGGAAACTCACCTATGTCGGATCTGCCGAGGATGAAACCTATGACCAACTTTTGGAGAGCGTGCTTGTTGGACCCGTTAATGTTGGCAATTATCGTTTTGTCCTTCAGGTGATATATGCTGAGTTCTTTACCTTCTTTTGGTTCTAAAGAGTTACATATCAATGTTGCCCGAAATATTACAATCTCAAATCTTACAAGTCCCGGTAGAAGTATTAATGAAAATCTGGACGATGAATATGTTAGAATCCCAAATACAAAAACCTAACTAGATAACTATATTGCAATCTCAAACAGAAACTACAACATCGATAGCCTTTTGAGAGGACAATCTCTTTCTCAAAGAACTCTCTCAAGTTCCTCACGCAATACTATTCTGCAATATATGTTTCTCCTCTTCCTACTACCCCTATTTATAACAAACTCACCACAATATAATTATTGTAATGCCCTTAACTACGATACTAATACTATTCTTAAATTAATCCTAATAGGACTCTCACAGAATACTCTAGAAAAGAAAACTAGAGAAACTGATGAAAACAAAAATTATATGTATTAATGAACAAAGTTCTAACATTCTTTAATAGTTGTATAATTCATGGGTTACTAGTCTTTATATTGCAGGACATTGGTATGTTTTAACCCGTAGCCTGTTAACTTAAGATTTTGAAATTTAGTGATAATTTAATATGGTGTCAAGTAGAAAGTTTGTGTTCAAACCCAATTAATATTTCATTCTATTATCTGCAGTCTTGGAATTTAGTAATAGATTTATGTTATCAACATTTACACAACATATGAAAAACAGATACGTCCTCCCATAGATGTCAAACACTTAGATTTATAGTTATATCCGAATCAAATTTCACTCTGTCTTAGACTAATTTCTGCACAAACTGGAATCTGAATGGTCCCTATTGGTTTTGTTGTGGTTGGATATTTTGCAGGCAGACCCTCCAGATCCATCAAAAATCCGGGAGGAAGACATCACAGGGGTGACAGTACTGTTATTAACATGTTCTTACATGGGGCAAGAATTTATAAGAGTAGGATATTATGTGAACAACGATTATGATGATGAACAACTTCGTGAAGAGCCTCCCCCAAAAGTTCAGATCGATAGGATCCAAAGAAACATTCTGGCTGACAAGCCCAGAGTCACAAAGTTCCCAATCAATTTTCATCCGGAGAACTCTGAAGATGGTGGAGATCAAGGAGAACAACAGTCTTCTCCACCCCACCATTCAGCTGAAACCATCAACAACGAAGAAGAAGGAAACTTGCAGTTGCCACCATCACCATCAGCAGCAGAAGATCCATCTCTGGACGCCATTGATTCTGAACCTCAGCCCTCACCCTCGGTCACGGCATGAATTAAGGTTCGAGGTGAGCATGATCCATATTTACCTACTTTTCTTTATGGTTTGTAAGCTAAAGCAGTGTGGTAGAAAATACATAGTTTCTGTTGATGAGATAGACCAGTTTGAGAATGTGCATTATGATTTAAAGAATTTAGGAAAGATGATTGCATCTTTCTGTTATTTAATTGAAATTTTTGATAATTTCAAATCAATTTTGGTTTTTTGTTTTTTCTACTAATAGGGTGTGTTCGATTTTAATTTTACTTGGAATTTGATCTCCATGGTTTGGTTAAATCTTTCTAACCATTTCTAAAGGTAACAAGTGTTATCATTTTATTAAATTGCACATTCTTCTTAGATGTTAGTTCGGTTGCTTGATAATTAGACAGTTTTGAGTGATAGAATGACTAAATGACTAAATTGAAATCAAGCCTATACTATGGATATTGGTCTGGTTGGGCTAGCAAGACTACCAAGCTTGGATGGATTTGCTATGGAGAACATTCAAATGAATTTGAAATAAAAAAGTATTGCTATCACTTTTGTTAGTTAACTAAATGGTAATGTGATAATGTTTATTGTACAAATTAGATTAATTTACTTGATATGAAGTGACAAATATATAATTAGATAATTGGACCAAACAAATTCATTATGGCATGCTTTTAAATAAAGTATTCAAAATCGATCGATGGTTGAAATTAAAAATTAGATTAATTAATTTTATTTTAGTAGAACATGTGATCCAGACATGTTTTTTAATGAGTTGAACTGTTTTCAAGTAGGTGATTAATTAAAAATTTAGAAATACAATTACAAATTTTTAGATTTAAGAACCAAAGGAAAAAGGAAACCGAAGAAGAAATTTATAATTCAGTCTATTCTTTTTTTTGGGGACATTGATCAGTTCTCAAGGTATGCGTGTAGGTAGGGACCACTAGTATCCTTCTGATTTGGATTTTACGTGTTGAATATTTTAATTCCTTAGAGACTCAAGGGTCAGCCTCATCATCAGATTCAAAGCTTAAAAATCGGCTCAAGTCCAATCTAGGCTCGATCTAAGTCTGGCCAAAGGTCAACGTTTGATTGGTCTGGTCCAGCTCATCTATAAATTGGATTGGATATAGATTTTTGGGATTAGAACATTGATTGGTTATTTAAAGATCTTAATTACATAAAAGAATGAAATGTATATATCAACTCTATTTAAAAGGGTATCCATCATATAAATTACTTAAATAGCCTCATGTATTTATAAATTAATTTTAAATTCATTTTAATATCTAAAATTGATTAATTGGAAGGTTATAATATAGATCTCACGTTAATGATACTTTCCAAAACAAATTAAAACACCAAAATATTAAAAACAAAACCCTAAATTTTCCAAAATTGAAATCATAACCTCCTAAAATATCTCTAAATCTCGTTCAAAAATCTCTCAAATTCGAAATTAAGAACTTTTTTTGCTTCATCCATGAAACGTTTAAAACTTCAATTTTGGAGGACTTTTTTTACATTACTATAGGATATATGCGTTTATATCTTATATACAATTACAAGATATATACACATATACAATATATACCTATATATACGAATATAATTAGGAATATTAAGAATATGAGACATTTAGAACTTCAATTTTCTATACACATAAACAAAACATATCCTCATATATATCAATCTTAACGGAAGACTAATAATTACAATGGTATGGAGGATCCTTTCTACAAAACTATAAGATATATGTATACACATATAAGATATATTCACATATACAATATATACCCATATATACGAATATAATCAGGAATACTAAGACTGTGAGATGTTTTGAACTTCCATTTTCTGTACACATACATAAAATGTATCCCTATATATACCAATCTTAACGGAAGACTAATAAGTATCAATGGTAAAAACAGAAGGGGACAGGAGACGAGGAACACATTGACGGAAACTTTATTCAGCTACAGAAATGAACGGCATTGGAAACGTGCAAAAGAAATAAATACCTTGTTCATAAAAGTCCTGAAGATGGAAAATGAAGGTCTGGTCGTCGACGTCTTTGCACATTGGAAACGAAGACAACGGTGAACAAAAAACGGTGTGGAGAAAATCGACAGCAAACGAGAAAATCGAATCGGCAGCAAAAATATTCATTTAAAAATTGGAAGTTGTTAATTGGTGAGAGAAAAAAATCTTTTTTGAAAGAGAGATTTGAGGAATTAAAGGTTGAAATTTTGAATGGGACCCACAAAAATTAAATGAATATAATTACAAATTAAGTATTCAAATCTTTAAAATTTAAAAATTATAATAAAATAAAAGGCAATAAATAAGGGTAGAAACGGTATTAAAATAAAATTCTAACTGCAAATATCTAAAAGTGTAAATTTTGAAAACTAAAGATATTTATGTAATTAAAATTTCAAAATAGCCCTCACAATATATTATCTCTAGATCTTTGTTTTTCAAATTGAGTTGATCCATGGGCTGGCCCGTTTGAGCCATATTTGGATCGACCCATTGGGTCGGTCCAAAGGTCCGATCCCATATTTATTAATATTAATATTATATATTATGTAATATTAATATATTATTTTATCATTTATTTATTATAAACAATAAATAACACATAGGTATGGTAGGTAGGCTAACATGCAACTTTCCATCTTATTAAATAGGAACATCTCACAAGAAACTCCCCAGTTTCTCAATATCTCATTTAAATCTTTGTTTTGAAAAGTAAAAAGATTTGACAGGTTCCAACTCCATGATATTTTAAAATTCAAAATTTAAAATTTAAACCTATCTAATATTTAGGTTGTAATTTTTAAAATTTTTTAATACAAATTTTTTTATAAATATCAACCTTCTTTTCTTTTTTTTTCACTCAATTTTTAATTCTCAATCTCAAATTCTTTCTAATTCTTAATCTCAAATTCTTTCCAGTTTCAATTCAAAATGTTTAAATTTTAAATTTTTCTTTTATTTAACCTCTGTTCGTCGCAAAATTTTTGTTTCAAGTTAAAAAAAAATAACAAAAAAATATATAAAAATACATATTCTAGAATTAAAAAAAAACTTAGTTTGGAAATTATTTAAAATTTAAAGTTTAATAATAAGAAATATATTAATATACGGGTCGATCCAAGCCCGATCCAAACGACCGATTCAAACTCGATCCAACTTTAGCTCATCAACTTAGGCCCATGGATTGGGCTAAGAACTTAGGTTTGAGTGGTTGGGTCGGGCTACAATACTTGAGGCCCGTAGGGTTTGTGTCTGGGCCAAGCTTGGGCCATTATTTCTTTAGGTTGGACCGGCCTAACTCGGCCCAATGATGAGGCTGACTCAAGGGTAATGTTCCAATTTCCTATTTCTTGTTTTATGTTTCGTTTTTAGAATTATAAATAAGAATACATTTGTTAACTTGAAAAAAAAGAAATAAAAAAAATATGTTTGTTTTCTGTTTCTTATTTTTATTTTTAGTACAACAATTTATGGGTAGTGTTCACACGAAATTATATGTTCTTGAATTTGGATCGAAGTTATATGTTCTTTGAAAGTCTTCAAGTTTTCAAAGTTTTCAGGTTAATGTGAATTCTCCCAATTCTGAAAATCTAAATCTTAACATGAATGAGGTCCCTCTGTTTATAGAGGTTTTCATAAGCTTGGTGGACCGGACTTGGATAATTTTGGGCCCAGCCAAATTCTTTAAATGGATTTAAATTTAAATATTAATGGTCTCATATGTAAATTGGGTTTTGGACCATGTGAACCAAATTGATTTCAAGCTCAATTCTCATAGGATCCAATTACATATTTTAATTGTCAATTTATGTTTAATTTTAATTTAGGGTTAATATATAATTAATCCCTAAATAAAATAGATAATGACGTGGTTGTTTATGATTGACCCAAAATTTATGGTTCTACAAGTAGAAATTTGAACTTATGACATTGATTAAGGATATATACTTAAATAAATATTAAATTTTTAAATCTTTAGTTAAAATATAATTTAGTAGATATAATTTAAAAAGATATAATATATACTCGAGAAATATAATTCATTAAAAAATACAATTTACAATATATATTTCTTTGATACAGCAGTCTAAATTATTAGATTTAAATAAAGAATATAATTTCAAAATATTTTTAATTTAAAAAAAGAAAATATTTCATAAAAAAAAGTATGAATTAATAAAAGATAGAAAATATAAGAAATTAAAACCTGCTATTACAAGAAATGAGCCATACGAGTTGGATTATTTGCATGCATGTTCACCAACTGAACTATACAACCATTTTGCTTCTATTACTTAAGTTTAGGCTTAGAAACGAAAACAGTAAAAACGAAACTACTTTTTTGTAGTTTCCAAAATTTAATCTATGTTTTAAAAATATTTCTCAAATTTTAGAAACGGATAATGAGATGGATTATCAAACATGTCTATTTTTCAGAAAATGAGAAATGAGAACAAGAAACAGAAAACATGAACATTATCAAAAGACCCTAAATGATTTTTTTTCCTTGTAATTCAATTGGGGTGAGTCTTTACCAACTCTCAAAAGATTTTAGGGAAACCAAAAAACGCGAGTGTCAATAGTGAGCCTTATTAGAAAAAAATGTCCTTACTCTCGAATAAAGCAAGAGGATTGAGCAACGCGAAAGCTATTGACAATAATACTCAAATAAGGGCGTATTAGAGTCGACGGCGTTAGCGCCCCCTTACCCCTAAACTCAAAGGTTTTTCATAAAGGTAGCTTGTCTACGCCTTTTGAAAACCTTACTAATAATAAGAAAGGGCAAAAAATGCACTCAAACAACCTATCTCACTAATAATAAGAAAGAGCCTATCTAATCTCTATCGTTATAAAACCATAGCTCTATAGTCGGCCTTACCTTTCATGTTATTGGTAAAGGGCTTTCTGTGAGATTAAAAGTTAAATTATTAATTTAATCTCAATAGTTTGACCGTTTGAGCTAAGATTTTTAATTTAGTCCCTATTATTTTAAAAATGATAAATTTACTGTGATTTAGTTAAAAGTTTACGGATATAAGTCAAATCGATTTTCACCCATAAAATATCAATTTTCACCCATAAAAAAACTCAAATCTTTTTTTCTTACTTTATACACAAGAGTTAAACTAAAAAAAAAAAAAAAACCTCAATCTTTTTTTCTTACTTTATACTCGAGACTTAAAACTCTTATACAATAAGCTAATAAAGTCAGGTAAATAAGTTAACTCATAGTTTAACATATGATTGGGTGATAATTCGACTAAAAGATAATTTTTTTTATCGTAGAGATGATATATGTTTTAATCTATAGATCCATAATCAAGTTAGTACAGCTAAACGTGACACATCAATATTTTTTGGGAGAATTGCAGGAATGATATAAATTTGGAGGCGTTAATGAGATATAACCCGATCCTATAATACTTGTTATTAATTCCGACCTCGGTGATATCGTTCTATCGCGACAAATTATTTCTGATGCCCCTCACTTATTTCTTTTAGTTAGTTATAGCGATAACAGTAATGATAGTGATAGCGATAAAGAATAACGACAACGGTAGCTATAACAATAATTTATATTAGCAAAATACTTCAAATTTCATCTCTTGGCGATAACGATAACAGTAGAGATAGCGATAATAATAACAATAATGGTAGCAATAATAAAGGTAGTGATAGCAATAGTTTATATTTGCAACATATTTTCAATTTTTTTCTTGGTTCCTTATTTTTCTCTTTCAATTTTTTTCCAACTATCATTTCAATTCTGATTCTTTATTTATCTTTCAATTTTATCTCTATCTTTATATTTATTTGTACTGCTACCTATATTTATACTTGCATCTCTACATCTACTTATATCTATATCTTATTTTTCTTTTTTAATTTTTTTTCCAACTTGAGGTAGGAGGTAGAGATACGAGAAAAAAGAAAAAAAAGAAATTAAAGTTAAAAAATGAAATAAAATTAACAACGCAAAAATTACGTTATTATCGGAAGAAATTTGAAAGATTCAAGTTGGAAGAATTTCAACTTAATAGGGACAAAAACAGTAAATAAATAAAAATGAAATAAAATTCACCGAGCAAAAGTAGCCCGAAAATTTAGAGAAGAAATTTTTTTTAATTTTAAGCTGGTTAAAAAAATTAACTCAATAGAAAATAAAAAAGAAAAAACAACTGAGAAATACTTCACAAGAATAGGAAGGGACAAGATGATGTAATTCCACAACTAATGACATAAGAAAATGGTAGAATAACAAATCTATAATATATTAAAAAGTAGGGACGAGACAATATTAACTCTTACTTATTTTGTAATATCAAAATTATTCTTCAAAATTATTCTTCTCTTTAATTTATGTCTGTGATACTCTCCCATCTTTTCTCATTTATTTTTCCCTTATTTATTTATAATTTTCTTTCTCTAGAATATCAAAAGTTTTGCCTTTTAAGTTTAAAATTATATTTTTTACATTTAATTATGTTGAACGGTGGAATATGAAAAGTTTTTTAACTTTTCTACTTCCTGGGACCATAAAAGTGGTTCTCTCCTTCTTCATTTTTACACTAATTTGTTCCATTTCTTTATACATATTTTTTTCTCTTTAGTTCATCATGATTTCTAGATTTAGTGATAGAATACTAATATTTTCAGTAACCTATTGTGTGTTCCAACGAAGCGCTGGGTTGTTGGTAAGGAGCGTGAGCGGGCGGGGGGCTCACACAAGTATGTGAAGGACCCCTGTAGGGCCTTTCAGAAGTGTGGCCCACACACGGTAGGGAGGAAAGAAGAAAAGGGAGGGGGATAAGGAGAGCCTTAGCCCTGAGAATTGAATCGAATTCTAAACCGGCGTGGCGCTGCTAGATGCTTCTGATCAATAGAATAGGAAGAGGAGTAAGCCAAAAAGAAAGACCACCAAAAGTCACGACCACCAAGATACGCATAGTGATTCGATCTTTTGATCACCCATTTTTTGAAAACCATTTTTGGGGGCTTCCGCCTTACACATGGAAGATTGGATTGCCTGAATCACGAGTTACAGAGTTATGTTGTAGAGTGACGTTGTTTAGCAATAGTTGATCATTTTGTGTCTCTTGCAACCATTTATCAGTTTTATCTCAAACATCGGTAAGAAGTAAATATATTTTATGAAAATATAGGATAATCATCTTGATTTTGTTCTTCAATATTGCTATTTTTAAGTTCGGACTATTTTATAGTTAATTTTAATATCATTATTTTTTATTTTAAATATTTTTACATATTTAAAAATGGTTAGGTTTATGTTTTATTTAAATACGACAGGATTAATTTTTTATTTTCTCATATACATGAAGAAAAAATAACTATCCTATCATTTTATTTTATGATATACTTTCTACGAACATTATTGTTAGACATACAATAACAACATTTTTAAGGCCAACCAAAACATAATTGATCAACTGTTAATGCACGTTTATCTAATCATGAGGTTGTTGTAAATATATATAAATTAATTTATTCCATCAAATGGTAAGTTATTTTATTTTAATATGTGTTACTAAATTTTGAAAATAATAAATAATTATCAAAATATATCGAAAAAATCACTTAATTTATTTTGTTATAAATAAAAATGATGGTAGTATTTGATTGATTCATAACTATTTTATAACTAAAATTAACGTTAATATATCATGCCATAAAATTATAATACTACGTGCAATGCACGTGTTAAATTAATAATTTCTAAAAAAATGGTCATATCTCATTGACTATGTCAACCTAAGATTGTTTAGCACAATTTCTTCGTATTTTTTCCGCAACGTTAATAGAAGAGATTTAGTAAAAAAACAAAATAGCTATTTAATAGAAAATATTTTTAAATTTTATTGATCGAATATGTCAATTCATTTTGGCTCGCAATCTGAAAACAACATAAATCTACGAGAATTTTGCTGGTAGACTTTTCAAACTCTTTTTTTTTTTTTAGTTTTTTCTAAAATTATTACTCAGTGAACATTGAAAGAGAATTCAAAGCGAGGATTCCTATAAATAGAGATTTTCGAAAAATCGTTGAAGAGTAACAGATTCTCTTCTGACGCGTCCGCCATGGAAGTAGAAGCCACGTTGCGCCAGTAACACTCGAGTTTTTCTCCATTTCTCACCAGAAGAGGCGACTCCGGAAAAAGTTACCGGGCATTGTATCTCCGGTTACGTTGTCGGAAAACATGGAGGAGGCTCTTTTGCAGAAGCAGAGGGAAGGGGATGAAGATGCCAGAGGCAGAGGCAGAGAAGAAGGTCTAGGTTTGAGCAAAAAATGGGGCGTCTCGGTTCAAGAAATCAAGAGATTAGGATATTTAGCAGGTCCTTTGATTGTTGCAAATTTTTCGCAGTATTTCTTGCAAGTGATTTCGATTATGATGGTTGGCCATCTCTATCAGCTTTCTCTCTCTAGCACCGCCATTGCCGTCTCCCTCTCTGCCGTCTCCGGCTTCAGTCTTCTGGTAATTTCTTTGATATTGCTTTTTGTTTTATTTAATTTTCTTTGCTAGTTCTTGTTTGTTTGGTGGAGTGGACTTTGAAAAACATCTTCATGACTCATGCTATTACTAGTAATTTCTAAACTTTGTTCTAATAGGTTAGGAAGGATAATTCGGATCATTCCACTTCTTAACACCTTATACTGCTAGATCCAAAAGTTTAAAGATGATAACTGATAGATTATGATTTATTTAGTCGTTTAAATTTGTGCTTGACTCACTTTCCCTCACTCAACGTATTTGAGGGCTTGAAAATTAGCAGGAGAGCCAGCGAATGAGCTACCGATGTTGCTGGAGGAGAACATTATTGATGTGAAAATCCTTGCTAAATGGAATTGGGAACCTTTGGTTGTACGAACCCTAACTTACAAATGTTAAAATCCTCGAATCGATTCGATTTCAGCCCTAAAGTTTAGGCGTTAGACACAGATGGTCTTGAGATCAAAGCTCTCGAGACAAAGAATAAATTTCTTGTCCGAGAATCGAACACTCCACAAGATAGGATGATCAATTCTACTTTAATATTCTTGACATGCAATTCAAAGAAACATGACCAAATTGCAAAAAGTTCAAGAAAGCTCCCGAATAAACTTGAAACGGAAAAAAGCTTGTTGGCTAAAACTGATAGGATAGATAGCCTCCCAACTAAACTCTAGATGTCACATCATCAACCATAGCAAAAAGACAAAAATACCCTTACTTATTATGTTCAAGAAATGATAAAACTGGTACATAATAAAATTACATTAAAAACTCTTAAATAAAAATTTATCATAATTTGTTACTAAACTCAAAAGTAATCTTAACAGTACCAGAAGAAATTTAAAACCCTTTTTAAGTCCTAAAGCTGAAGCTGTTAAATTAAATTCAAATGTTTATTATACTCTGTTATTGAATAGATGACTGGACTTTCAACTATGTCTTTGCCAAGCAGTATGGAATGTCTAGTGCCCTGGAAACCCTGTGCGGGCAAGCTTATGGAGCTCAACAATATCAGAATCTTGGAATCCATACTTACAGTGCTACTCTATCTCTGACCTTAGTTTGTATTCCCATTTCTTTCATGTGGTTATACATGGGAAAGTTTCTGATACTTATTGGCCAAGACCCTTCAATATCACATGAAGCTGGTAGATTTTCCACATGGCTCATTCCAGCACTTTTTGCTTATGTGATTCTCCAAATTCTTGTGCGTTTCTTGCAAGCACAGAGTTTGATCCTCCCCTTGCTTGTAAGCTCTATTGCTTCTTTAGTTTTCTTCATACCTTCCTGTTGGGTTTTGGTATTCAAGTTTGGACTTGGGCACGTTGGAGCAGCTTTAGCAATCGGTATGTCATATTGGTTAAATGTAATTTTGTTGGGATTATATGTTATGTTTTCTTCTGCCTGTGTGAGAATTAGAATCCCAAATTCCATGGAGCTGTTCCGGGGAACCAGAGAGTTCTTCTGTTTGGCCATTCCTTCTGCTGTTATGATTTGGTCATGAACAAACTGTACTTTCTTTCCTTTCTTCAGAATTTTTTCAATCTCGTGTTTGGTCTTTTCTGATTTCTGAGTACTATTGTTGCAGCCTTGAATGGTGGTCATATGAGTTTCTTACATTGCTTTCTGGGTTCTTACCAAATCCTAAGCTTGAAACTTCAGTTTTATCTGTTTGGTAAGCACTCTGCTGTTGTGGTACAATTTGGCAACTCTGCTGTTTTATCTGTCTGACTACTTTACCAAATGGCATGTATAATAAGCAAATTTCCCTTCACATTATCTGTACAGCTTGTCAATCTTGACAACCATTTTCACAGTAGCCGAGGGACTTGGGGCTGCAGCAAGGTTTGTTCTCAACATGTTCAATAAACAGTTCTTTGAATGGTGGACATTAATGATGCAATGAGCAAAATCATGATAGTGATTAGCAATATTTATATCGTGGTTTTCAGCACTCGAGTCTCAAACGAATTGGGGGCAGGAAATACTGAAGCGGCTCGAATTTGTGTGTGCACCGTGATGTTTATTACTGTGGTGGAAACAGTGACAGTGAGCACAATTATTTATGGCAACCGTGAAGTGGTTGGCTATGTTTTCAGCAATGAGAAGGAGGTGGTGGACTATGTTGCTGCAATGGCTCCTATACTTAGTTTAGCTGTGATTTTGAACAGCTTGGAGGGTGTCCTTTCAGGTCCATTTCTCATATCCTTATCTACGATATTTTTTCTTTTTAGTACAACAAGTAGAGGTGGGGATATTCGAACTCATGACCTCTTAGTTAGAGACATGTGTCAATTGTCGCTGAGTTAAGCTCATGTTGGGCCCTCATCTATCTCGATTGCATACCAAATAAACTCTTTTTCTTTATTTCTAAAATTTCTACCGAAGCTTAAAAAGTTTTCTTAAGAAAATGAGAAATGAAAAACATGAAAGGTTACCGAATGCTTATGTTTAAACAACAACAAGAAACAAGAAATAATGAGAACGTTACCAAACTAGTCCTTGAGATATCACCTCCCATTTTCCTCGTTTAACTAGCACGAAGCGATCAGAAGTTTTTCTATTTGGAATTGTATTTGGTTGAGTTGTGATTACTTTGGGTGTGTTTGTTATTGATTAGGTGTGGCTAGGGGATGTGGATGGCAGGAGTTGGGGGCTTATGTCAACCTTGGATCATACTATCTATTTGGAATTCCTACTGCTGCTGTGTTGGGATTTTGGTTAGAATTAAGAGGGGAAGGGCTTTGGATAGGAATCCAAGCTGGTGCTTTCCTCCAATCTCTTCTGCTCTGCATCATCACCACTTTGACAGATTGGGAAAAGCAGGTTTTTACCTCTCCTTTCACACTTCATTTTTCTCTCCTACAATCTCTGCGCTGCTTTGGCTTTCTTGTTTTTGTGTGTTCTTTTGCTATTTCGAGCTCTTTTTATCATTTTTATCTTTTCTAAACGGATTAAAAAGTGTTTCAATTTTCACCGTAAAATTTCAATTTCATTTGACCCTAGATTTACACCAAATTTTAATAAAAATCAAGTGGGGCAGTAAAGCGACCCTTGAATAACTCTGGAAAAACTCACGATTTCAAAAATAGAAAAAAAATCAGCTCTTATTGTCTTCTTTCTCTTAAATCTTATTGACTTTCCACTTGACGGATGTTTTATATTCATTAAACGCACGTGAAAGTATTTTCTTTTTAACAACTTTTTGAACAAAGGTAAAGTTGCAACGCTTGTTCGAATGAAAGTAAAGATTGCAACACCTTTTCAAGTTGAAGGTAAAGATTTTAACAATTATCCAAATTTAGGGTGTAATTTGATGAAGTTAAAAATTATGGTAAAAATGATACACCTTGTCAAGTTGAAGGGTAAAAGTTAATTCTCTTTTTTTATTGTTTTGGTTAAGTTACAAATTTAGTCCTTGAAATTCTAGTATTGTGTCTAACAAGTCCAACTTTAGAGTGTGTCTTATAGGTTCTTAAATTTTCAATTTTATGTATAATATGTCTTTGAACTTTGAAAATCTCTACTAAAAATTCTTTAACTTTTGATTTTGTGTCTAATAGATTTGTAATTTATTCTACATTTTTTAAAATTCATGGTTCTATTACACACAAGATTGAATTTTATGCCTAATAAAATCTCGACTTTTTTATTTTATGTCATTAAGTGTGTAAAATTTAAAAACTGTCTAGACACTTTCAAAGTCCAAGAACCTATAAAATATAAAATTAAAAGTTTAGAGATTTGTTAGATAATTTTTGAAGTTAAAAAACGTACCAAACTTGACTTTAAAAGCTAAAGGACTGAACCTATAGTTTAACTCTTTTTTTTTTTCAATCTCTTACTATCACAGGCAGACAATGCTAGGAAGAGAATATTTCATGGAACAAGTTCGCTCGATTGGGATTGAGAAGGTTCCGTAATATACGTATATACATACATACATGTCCCCTCTCAAGCGTGGACTTGAATATTAATTTTATTCACGACATTCAACATGTGGTTATTAATATTAATGGAAAAAGAAATAATTTCAAACTTGACACTCAGGCATTGGTTGTCAGTAGATTAGAGTATATTTAAATTTTAATTGCTTATATATACCTAAAACTACGAAATCAATGAATTAGCCTACTCCATTTTCTTCAAATATTTGCCTCATTTTCTTTGTTTGAACCATCTTTTTCTTTAGAACTCTTTTGTAAAAGAGAGGCAAATATTGAGATAATCATTGATTTAAAGCTTCACAAAAGAGTTGAACTTCCACGAGAGAATAAAAGTTCCCTTCATTCAATATTGAGATAATCAAATCGATGGGATGAATTTTGATAATAAAAATATAAAATAGTATAAAGGATCACTTGTGAAAATTTCAAAATAACAGTATGTGATTTTGATTATATAAAAGAAGAAATGCCATGCGAATGATTGAGATAGAAAGTAGTTTTTTAAATGGTTAAATTATACATTAATTGTATTCTCTTTGTTCTAATTAGTGCTCTCTTTATATTATTATCGTAGATGTAGGGTTGAATTTTCAGTTGTTTGGTGGAGTCCTCGATTCGCAACATCTCGAGGTGGATTTATTCAATTACATAATTTGGAGGCTTCCAATTTACAATGGCATATTAATTTTTACGTTGGAAGAGACAAAATTAGAAAAATAAAAATAAAAATAAAAATTTTAAAAACATAGGAATGAAATTAATGTGAAAATGAGTAATTCAATTCTATATAGAAGAGTGTCTCGCTTTGCATTTCAATCTCATTCAAACCTTTTATTATTGCCATGATTTTTGGATATCGATGTGTAAATTGTGCACTGTATTCTTCTACCCATCCTAATTAGTGCTCCCTTTACGTCCTTGAGATAATCTAGCCTATCTCTACTTCCAATTACTTTGATCCAAGATACACTTTGAGTTTCTAGTTGTTTGGTTAGGCTTCCAATTTTGTAGTCATACATCAATCTTTCATGGATGAAAGAGACAACTAAAGTATACAAATGAATTAAAGTTTTAAAAAATACATGAATGAGATTCACGTGAAAATGAGGAATTCAATTCTATCTAGGGGTATGTCGCTCGGCTTTTCAATCACTTTTAAATCTTAAATTATTTCCATGACTTTTGGGTATTTGATTGATAAATTGTGCATCATATTCTTCTACTATGCTTTAGTAAGTGATCTTCCACTTTGCAATCGTATGTCCATTTTTCAAGGATGAAAGAGACAAAACTAAAGTATTCCAATGAAATTAAAGTTTTTAAAAATATATGAATGAAATTGAGGTGAAAATGAGGAATTGATCACAATTCTATCGTTTTGCTCATCAATCACCTTCAAACCTTCTATTATTGCCATGACTTTTTGGTATTTGATGGGTAAATTGTGCATCATTTTGTTGAATTTTTCAACGAGGCTTCTAATTTGCAGTCGTATGCCAATTTTTCAAAGATGAATGAGAAAAACTGAAGTATAGAAATGAAATTAAGGTTTTTAAAAATATTTAATATATGAATGAAATTGACGAGAAAATGAGAAAGAAAAAAAAATTAATACTTCTTTATCTTTTAAAATTCGAATACCAAACCAATCTAACTTCTTTTCATTCATACGTGGCATGAATTTGCAAGAGAGTAATATAATTCATAGTTACCCAAGTTTTATTTGTCTTACTATATTTTTTAAGCCACCGATTCCTTTTCAGTACACATTGATTTTCTTGACTTGGACAATTTATTAAATTAAAAACTAGTTTATTTAATTTGATATAAAGTTTAAATAAACAAACTAAGCAACTTTTGGGACCGCTAAAACAAGCATAGCTCAGCGGTAATTAATATATCTCCAATCAAGTAGTTGTAAGTTTGATCTACCATGTTGTACTAAAAAAACAACTTTGAGATCGAGTTGTTCGATATATATATATATATATATTTATATTCTCGTTAGCCACATTTCAATTGGCAATATATATTCGATTTAGGGGTTACTGTAGAAAATTGTTTTTAGAAATGGTGATTCAACAACTCGTAAGACTTAGGACGTGTTTTAAAGTTTAAAATGATTTTAAATTGATTTTTAAGGTATGACTTGAATTATGATTTTGAAAAATCAATTATACTTAAATATATATTTTTGAAATTACTCATTCTATCCTTACTTCCAAACACACCCTTAATGTTATTGTGAAACATTAAAATCACTATTTGCTAAATCGTGATTAGTGGAAAAAAAGAAGAAGTTATATATATGTTTTAGTCTTTATTGTTTGAGTGATTGTTTTTTTCAAATTTAATCTCTATTATTTAAAAAGTTTCAGTTTGGTCTCCTATGCTTTAACATTTTTCAATCTAGTTCCTTACTGTTGGTAAATGTTAAAATTGAATGATGATAAAATTACGTGACATAATATTTAGCAAATTACTCGAAACTTAGAAAAGAAAATAAGATCATTAAAAAGAAGAAAATTCAAAATTTCTACCAATTTCTAAGAGATTTGGAGTAAAAATGAGGAACTTTTCTCTCATGGATGACATTTCTTTTCACTTTTAACGTCTCGTCAATTGATAAGTACGACAAATCCATTCATCATCAACCAATTTTAATATTTACTGATTGTGGGATACTAAATTGAAATATGTTAAAACATAAGAGATCAAATTAAAACTTTTTAAATCATAGAGACTAAATTAGAAACACATCTAAATTAGGGACTAAAAAATATATTTAGCAAAAAGTATTAGTTTTGCTTTTCTTTTTTTTTTCCTTTCGTAAGATAGGTCATTTGCAAGAATAAATCAAAAGAAAACAAGAAAAAATAACTATTTGACTGTGTTGTACGTTAACGATCACATATAAGAAATAAGAAATATAACAAAAGTTTATAATATACCTAACTACGTTTTTGGATCCTAATTGATTTTTAAATAGAGCTCAGGAATCTTTAATTAGGAAAGACAAAAAAGACAAAAAGATTGGTTTAGAAAATTATTCCATAAATGATACATCCAACATACCTTATTTTTTAAAAAAGCAAGGTTAATTATGGTAAAAGTTCATTAATTAGATTATGATTCAAACCAATATTATATATTAACATGTAATAAAATGAAGAAGAAGAAAATGACAAATATGTCATAATCAAATTTCTATGAGATGGGAGGAAACCGTTTAAAATATACACGTATTAAAATAATAATTCAATAGAACATATTATAATAACTTAATTTTTAGAATAAATAAAGTTACACATTCCTTATGAATTTGTGAATAATTATCCCAAGTTCTTAAAAATAATTAAGACTGTTTTAAAACAATTAAACACATAAATTCTAAAGAACTAGACCAGAAAACAAACACAAGAAAGTAGATTACTTAACCATAAGGAGGGTGGAGCAGAGAAGGAAGGGGATAAGGTAAGTTCAAAACATTCTAATTTGTTCCTAAATATTTACTATTTAGAATCGAAAGATTATATATATAATAAATTAGATGTTAAATTATAGTTCGTTGAACTTTTTGAGATACTTTAAAAAAATATATTTAATAAATTTTTGAACTTTTAAAGTTTTGTATAATATATACAGCTAAACTTTAAAAAAATGTTTAGGAGATCTATAAATTTTCAATTGTGTCCAATAGATTCTTGATATATCACACACTTTTTAAAATTGAAGTATTTATTAGACAAAAAATTGAAAATTTAGGACCCTATTTAATAACTTTTCTACTTCTTGTTTTTCACATTTCCAATCTTTGAATAACATAAACATTTCGTAACTGTTTTTGTTTATTGTTTATTGTTTTTAAGAAACTAGTCTAAAATTGTGAACAACAAAATCAAGTTTTTTCCTTCTATTTCTATTTTTTTTTCCGAAAGCATGGAAAAAAGTATTATTTTTTCATTTTTACTTATAAAATACCTAATAAATATCAAAAGATAAAAATAACATAAAAAGTTTGAACATTTAATTTTCACCTGAAACTTTTACTGTTTTTTCTTAATTTAAAATTTTAGAAAACAAAAAACTGTTGTCAAACAGAATTCTACATTTTTTTTAATTTAAAAAAGGAAAACGAGAAACAAAAAATAAGAACATTAGAGAACGAGTGCTTAGTAACCCAATTAATATTTTTCAAAGTCTAGATATCTAAAGTTGCCAAACTTAGGGGTCGTTTGTTTTTTGGTATGTAGATGTCTGACATTAATAGATGCCTGAAATTTCAGATGCCCGGAATTTTAAATGTCCAGCAAATAACTACGTTTGTTTTGTAGGAATGTGTTAAATTTATAGAATGTTCCACAAATGCCTCACGAATATTTATATAATTTATAAATTCATTTAATATAATAGATTTATTTGAAATAATTTAATAGATTTATTTGAAATAATTTAATATATTTATTTTTTATATGTAATTTTATATGAACAAAATAATTCATATTAATTTAATATAAATTTCATTTTCAACTTTAATAGTTTTACAAAAAGATAATCATATAGTTTATGTTGGTGAAATTTATTTATCCTATCATAACATTATATTTCAAGAGGAAAAATATCACAGGTATGTTGGTTTTTAAAAGAAAATATTGCTTCACAATTATATATTTACCATAAATAAATATTATTAATAATGTAATTCCTTCAAAATATTAAAAATAAATGGAGATATTATATAATTTAATTGCAGTTTATTTTACATGTAAATCTAGTGTACAGATATACTTAATAGCATAAAGTTGTTTATTAGACGATGAGTACATTAATTTATTTTAATTATAAATTAAAAAATAAAGATTTTTTTGAGGAAAAAATAAAAAAAAATTGATAAAAAAAATATACGGAGAAGAAAATGAAGGGCAAAAATATAAAAAATAGATGCTCTCAATATAGGAATCTATTCTAGATATCTTACGTTCCCACAAAACAAACGTGAGAATCCAGATACCCATCCAACGGAAATCTCTGATTCCCACGAAATAAACACTCCTTAATACTTTCACCAAAATAAGATATTAAAAATTTGATTCCTCAAATATTTTTGGCTTCACCCTTTGTGGAATATAAGGTAATCTTGAATTGTTGCAAAAACAAACAAATGGGTTGATGAACCAAGGTCTGTATTATCTGCCATGGTCAAAACAAAACTCCCTCTGTTTCTTCCCACCATCACCGCACAGCTCCTTCCAATTTCCAAAGATCAAACCCATAATCACAAAATTCTCTCTTTGAATTCAACACAAAAGCTTCCAAAATCCAAACTAACCCATTTGTCCTCTAACACTCAATTGTCGATCACTACTAAGATTCCATTTCATACCCCATTTCTCCTTTCTTTGATATGAACTGAAACAAAATTACTTGTTCTCTTCTTCCTTAGGCATGTCCGCCATCTGCAACTATAAGATCGCCATGGCCGTTCCTCCCTTTCAGAAGCTCCGCAAATGGCCTCCTTCTCTTGCCCTGCTCCTTATTTTGTTGTGAGGTGCTCCACCGCCAAAGAAGGGAGCGATTCTTCTCACAAGCAAAGGTACATAAAACTTAATGGGGTTAATATTGGGTCCGTTTCAGAGGCTGATTTCCTCACCCAATCGGCAAGAGCTTCCAGAACTCTGCTCGCCTCTGTTGCGGCGAATGGGTGTGTTATTGAAGAAGATGTTCGCCTCAAGATTCCCACGAAGAAGCAGCTGGTTGATCCTCATCGGCAGGGGCTGATCATTGAGGGGGGTGTTGGGTATAGACAGACTGTTGTGATCAGATCATATGAAGTTGGTCCTGATAAGACTGCGACTCTCGAGAGCGTTATGAACCTGCTGCAGGTGAGCGATGCCCCACTTGTGTTCGACGAAATGCCTGAGAGAAGTTTTTGAGTTGGGAATTTTACTCTAATCGCTTGGAATCATTTGTGATTCTTGTAGGAAACAGCACTGAACCATGTTTGGATGTCTGGACTCCTCAGCAATGGTTTTGGGGCCACCCATGGCATGATGAAGAACAATCTTATCTGGGTTGTTTCACGAATGAACGTCGAGGTCGACCACTATCCGATATGGTATGTTCTCTTAAAGTTTGTAGTGACTCAAATAGATAGTTGTGATCTAGTCTCTCTGCTTTGTGGTTTTTCCTTGATAAAATGGTCCGGCCTCTTTGATGTCCTGTCCAACGGAGAAGACGTATGCCCATATAGGTTAAATCTACTAATACAAAGAACATTGTGTTACCTGTTCAATAAGTTGGTATCCTTAGGTTTAGATTGATATTTACTCCAATGACAGCTTCCGGAAGCAAAATTTAGAAAACTAATTGATTCGTCAGTTTGCATCTGTTGAGCCTTGAGGTGATCATCTTCCTACTTTGGTGGGGGATCTCGATTTCGAATGGATCAATTTGTTACATGAAATGTCACTCATTCGCATAGGGATACATTCTGCAGGGGGGAGATTGTTGAAATTGATACATGGGTTGGGGCATCGGGTAAAAATGGAATGAGGAGAGACTGGCTAATTAGAAGTCAAGCCACAGGTCATGTGTATGCTCGAGGTACAAGGTAATAAGAGCTGGATATCTAGATGCATTTCTTCAAAAATTTTACTCAGTTACTGTCATCTCGTCCGATACTAAAATTGTTAAACATAAAACAGCACATGGGTGATGATGAACCAGGAAACAAGACGTCTCTCGAAAATCCCAGAAGAGGTAAGGGCAGAGATTTCACCATGGTTTATAGAGAAGCAGGCAATCAAAGAAGATGTCCCCGAGAAAATTTCCAAGTTAGATGACAAAGCCAAGTACATGAACTCTCACTTGAAGGTAAAAAACACCAATAACTCTACGATTCGGTCACCACCAGAGAGTTAAGAAAGAACGCTGATAATTGCTATTTACTTATTTACAGCCAAAGAGAAGTGATCTGGACATGAACCACCATGTCAACAATGTGAAGTATCTAAGATGGATGCTAGAGGTAAGTTTTTTTGGGGGGGGTATGAACTCTTTACAAAACTTTTGGGGACAGATACTTTATCATTGTGGGATAAAGGAAATCCATTTTGAAGTTTTGACACTTCTTCATTTGCCTGTTACAGACGATACCCGACCATGTTTTGGAGTCGCATCAACTTTCCAGTATCGTATTAGAGTATAGAAGGGAATGCGGGAGCTCAGATATAGTTCAATCCCTATGTGAGCCAGAAGAAGATGGAATCCTGAGGGATGTGGACAAGATAGAAGATAATGAAATCAGTCTACTAAATGGGTTTTCCCTGGCATCAGAGATTTTCAAGGCTGGTGGGCTCTTGGGATCTTTTGACAAAGGTATACTGAGGTATACACATCTTCTACAGATTGAAGGGGAAGCTAAGAATGAAGAGATAGTGAGGGGAAGGACCACTTGGAAGAAGAAGCTTACCAATATACCATTTCCCACACAGTAAAAATTTCACTTATAGCAGTCTCGTGCCTCTTTACGGAGAAGACGACGAAGCACCACAATGCAACATTCCTGAAGACAATAAGCAAGGCTGCTTTAGGTGAAATTTCTCATTTTGTTCAAGATTTTTCCTAGTCTTGTTGTTCTGCATCACAAGGGAGTTCATCAGATGTAAATACTCCTGCAAGTGCAATAGAACCTTTGAAGAGTTCAAGAACAATGAGAAACATACAGAAGAAAGAATTTAAGTTGTAATATATTGATGATCATTTGGAGAAAAGAAAGCTGATCCATCATGGATGTATTTGAAGATGAGCATTCTGATTTTCTTCCTGTAAGTTTAGCCTTACAACTACAAATATCAATTGAGAACTTTGGAGAGAACCAAAACTAACTTTTTAAGAAAGCACAAAAATATATAAAGATCAAACATGGATCCAAAACATACAAAACTAAATAAACAGGTAAAATGAAAACCCAAGAAACACACCCACATCCCCCACAAAAAGAAAAAGGTAAAAAAGAAAAGAAAAAAGAAAAGACAGAAGAATAAAGCAAAAACCAACCGTAACCTTTGCATCCTAAAATCTAGGAAAAGAATAGGAAATTTTCCACTCAGGAAACAGAATTCCCAAAAAGAAGAAGATTTGCTCATCTGGGAAATTAGACCCTTTTCTAAGAGGAAAATCATGTACAATCAATGTAGGTAATAAAATATTTACATGAGAATCCCCCTTTTGACCAGGAAGAAACCAAAGAATAATCTACCGCCACTGCCGAGATCATTGCTTCTTTCTTGCTAAACTTTTATGCAATTGCCACGACCAAATTAGAATGAATAATACGAGCGCAGCCCCGATGGTGACCCAGAAGAGTACCAGCCAAAGGGGCATTGGTTTGGGATATAAACCTGATAAAGAATATAAATATCATCCATCAATGGCAGCGGGTTAAGCAATAACTCTATATTATAAGTTCACATTACTTATAGAATGTCAACAAGCTTGAAGCTAAACCATTACAGAGGTCAAAGATATCGAAATATGTACCATGTCCAAACTTTATACAAATAAGAAGTTCAATGATGCAAATTGCAAGCGAGAGCCAACAAAATGCGCCAACTTTCTTCACGGGCTTCCTGGAATATATATCATTAGTCAAGACAGATGAATTTGTACGGGGGAATATGAATTCACAGGGGTAGAGATGGAGAGAATACCGATCTTGTAGGTAGGAATTATACTCGCGAATTGTCGGGATTGCAATTAGCCACCACAAGACTAGCCTGTATATGATCACAGGATTCCTAGGGGGCACCCAGAGAGAGAACTTCAAAAAGAATGTATTGAGCTCTACCGTCAGGAAGACGATGCAAAGACTGATAACTTGGATGAAACGCCATGGACCAAGCAACGGGTGCCACTCGTCTTTGTCCCACTGTGCTGGTGTGAACTGCCCCAGTGTCCGCTTGACCTAAAATGGAGAAATAGCACGCCCATAACAAGTGCAAAGCATTGATGCAGTTTCAAAGGTACTTTTATCTCATGGTAAGACTTCTCATCTCTTCTCTTCCTAAACTAGCATGCCATGAAAGGGAAGAGAAAGATAATGGATTTTGATAGACATAGTAATGCCAATGATTCCAAATTTCGTAAATCAATTGAAATCGGAAATTTGATTCTTCACTTTGACTCTTCTTCCTTTTCTTCCTTTTATTTCGGGAAGTGGGGAAGGAGCTAGAAGAAGAGATATAGCATCAGCACAACTAATAACTCTTATAAAAGTTAAATAATTGGTAAGAAAAACTTATGAAGAATTCATATCAAACTGATGATGAACGTTTAAAGCATACTTTTCCAATAATATTAGGTTGACGACTTAGACCGACCCACTTGTACGTTTTACCATCGAAGTACCGAACCGTACGCATTCCTGCCCAGATGCCTGCAAAATTAGTCATACATGAAATCAGAAAACTGTATTTGTTTTAAAAGGTAACTATGAATATTTAGTTGGTAGCACGCTATGAGAAAACTAGAACCATCCTTGTCTATTTAAGAAGATTCAATTTCCAGAAATCTAGCAATTTCAAACCAACAAAAAGTCGAAGGTCGAAAGATCAGATAACAGACAGAGAAGGAAAATCTCTAATTATTACCCTGATGCAATATGGTTATTTGGGAGGTAGGAAAGAAGAAGAATTTGGGCATAAATTAAACAAAAAACAAGATCTCACCAAACCAGTTACAAATCAAAATATCAAGAACGATACTGTCCCACCAGCACTCATTGAAGTTTGGCAACATGTGGCGAAAGGTTAACTGAAAATCAAGAGAACTAAGTTACAATTATACCAAGAAATTGGACAAAGGAAACTTAAAAGGCCAAGCTTCGATCAAGATCATAGGACAAAATTCAAAGGTAATGAAAAACCAAACCTCCATCATTTCAAACCCAATCGATAATACCCAAAGTAGAGCTTGGTTACGAATCATTATAGCCTTGCCCCACCATCCAATGATATGAGCTGGAACAAATTCATCGAAAAGCGTCTCCTGGGAGTAAAGATAAGCAAGGCATGTATGATGAATCTCTCAGTATTGTAGACACAGAAAAAAAAATATTGCAGCGGTACATTTTGAGTATATAGGCAAAAGATTTCATACATAAACATTCTTAAACCTGCTTCTGGGATTATCAGGTATATAAAGGCGACAATCAGCACCATATGACCTTTCCGGAAGCTCTGCATGAAATAATAGGTTGATAATGACTTGTGCACTATGTTAGTCAAAAACTAAATTCTTCAAGAATATCAAAATGGAAAACTTTCCGACCACGACATATCCATCGCTGTGTGTATAGTTATCGCGGATAACAGTTTAACAAAAATGAAGGGCATTACCAACACCAAGGTCGGGATGGAGAAACTTCATAAACTGTCGAGCATCGTCGCGACTCTGAAAGACAATTATGTCATGATGTTAACATTAACAATAGACAATTTCTATAAAACCTTTAAACAACCAAAAGATAAATAATCTGTAAATCAACCAACTCCAATCTAAATTTTAGATCTCTCTCAACCTGACAATTTTCAATTTAAAGAACATATAGAAGTCGTATAAACAAAATTAAGGAAAACTAAAAAAGCTAATGTTTTCAATTAAGTTTCTGTTTTACAGATTAATTAAGGAATAACAGTAAATATCAAAGTAGAAAAGAAAATAAGGGGAAAGGGCCACTTTAAAGGATAGGTGACCTGAAAAAGCAAAAAAGTAAGCGCTATCAAATAAATGACGGCCATTCCATGTACCAAACGCCAAATTGCTGGATGTGGCCTAATCAAAATCCTGCAAGAAATAAACTCACTTGTGAGGGGTGCAAAAAAATGGTATCATGAAAAAACTTCATCAGAACTTCACTACTTGAACCATACCCAAGTTGTTATCAAAATAAATACCAGAATCAATAATAACAAAATTTCTCAGTAAACGACTCGCAAATGAAGGATAAGCTTTATCATGCATAACGGAACAAATGAAATCTAGAGTTCCTTAACATTCCAGCTTTTGAGTTCCTTAACATTCCAGCTTTTGAACAAGTTTTATTATCATTAGATTTTATTTATGTACAATACAAGAGATGAGAATATCAATATCCTACGTTCATATACTCAATAAAAAACAACCACTTACGTCGATGGGGCTTGGAGCAAACAATAGGCAAGAAATACTGAAATCATTGCCCATACACCCCTACATGAAATAGCAGATAGTAGGATGAGCTTATGACAGGAAACAAAACATCTATAACACAACATTGTGCATATGGCACAAACCTTTTAACCGATGTAGCGCTATCCTCATGTGTGGCGTTTTGAGGATCAAGGGCTCCACTGGCCCAGCTGGTTAGGACAAGCAAAAAGGTAAATAAAACAGAAGTTTGAAAATCATGAAAAATAAATGTGTTGTAGTTTCCTTCAAAAAATGCTAGAAACATTTACATTTTTTCAAATAAAACAGGGGGTGAAATACAGCAGAACAATATAATATCTTGGAGGCCATAACAATTTTCCAAGCATAAAGTGAAACCAGATGTTGATAGTCTCCCTATCTCTCACTATCCATTCTGTGCTTACATTTAGATGTTAATACATTCCAGAACTACAAATCTCTCATTTTAATGGAGCGAGCAAAAATAAAGAAATAAGTAACAAAGGTAACATGAACTAAGTGAGGCAATAAAAAAAATTTCAATTAGCAGGCGTCTATAGAAAGTTAAATTAAAATAGAGGGTTATAAACTGCAGTAAATGATGCCGGTTGCTATATGTATATCCTACTAGCTAACAATGGACAAATATGAACGTCCCGACATCTACTGCTCGATGCTACGAAGTACAAATTACAAAAATAAATGAAAGAGAAGCTTCAATTCGAGGGAACGACTAAACATTATAGAAGGAAATTTTGTTATTAGAACCAGAAGAAAATAAAAAACTTCTGTTGCTAACCCAAAAGGAGGACGGCAAAATCACATAATTAATCAACTATTGCAAAAGAGAAAACAACTCATGCAATACACAGCAGGTGCATCTAAAACCAAATTTCAGCTGTGCGTAAAATTTCAGTATTAAATTAACAATATATCCAACACCTTTCATCATCACAATGATCAGCTGGGCAGTTCTTGAACACTAAGAGGTCATCATTTGATTTAAACCTCTAAAAATAACACTGTAACAATCATATAGTTCACGTTTTTGTAATTGATCAACACATATTAGACGGAGTAGGAAGCACAAATTCATTGAGAAAGAGAATCCTGTTCAGAGTATAGATAGGAAGCGAAAGACAAAGTTTGAAATAAACCACTTCAAATGCAGAAAAACTTAGTCAAAAGAATTTAATGGTAAGAAACGCTACCTATTGCACAAAACACTCACATAAGGAAGCATGCACTAATAAGTAACAACAAAACATTGCAAGGCTTGTACGCCCATATAGTTCACATTTTTATAATTGACCAACACAGATTAGATGGAGCAGGAAGCAAGAATTCACGGAGAAAGAGATCCTGTTCAGATTATAGTTAGGAAGCTAAAAAAAAGTTTGAAATAAACCACTTCAAATGCATAAAAACTTAGTCAAAAGAATTTAATGATAAGAAACTACCTATTGCACAAAACACTCACATAAGGAAGCATGCACCAATAAGTAACAACGAAATAGTGCGAGGCTTGTACGCCCATGCAGTCCAGGGATCAAGATCTTCACCCATGCTTAATGAATTAGAGTCACCATTTTCTTGAACAAAATGATTTCTTCTCCTCGCTCGTTTAGGTCCATCAGGCTCCATGGCCATTCCTTGAGACTATACAGCTTGCTAACTGCAAATCATAAATATAATGGTGTAACCATTTTTTTAAAACCAAAACATACTAAAGAATTACAAGTAAAAGGATTCAAAGGTTGCCTCCTTGTACAGTGATTGGCAGCTTAGAACATGAAAGGGGCAAAAAGGCATTATAAAAGTGACAGAACATAAGCACCTTTAAGAACACCAGGCAGAAGTTTAGTCAGAACACAGAAATACCATCCTTATAAATAGGTAAGGCAGTACGACTAGAGAATACAATTTGGTGATACATGCCCGCCTCAATGATAAAAATATATTAGTAGAGAAATCAAAAGTTGGTTGGACAATCAAAAAGTATTCAGCTGCTCGAAACACTCAACTCCAAATCATATACTTCCAAAATAATAGAAATGACATGTGCGTTCTAGATTATTTGGAAAAACTAAATTTTACTCAACTTTCATTTACCATACTACACATTGAAAACCTTCAAGTTCCAATTCTGATATTTACCTCCCAATATGATCTCATCATTTTCAAATTAAACTTCTGGTCCTGCTTACTTATTTTTGTGTTTAGACTAGACTAAACATAATTCTAGAAATGAAGTCCATTCTTTTTAGCCCTTTAACAAGTAAAGAAGCAACAAGTACTGTTACAAAGATTTAAAGGCTGAAAATGGCACCTTCCAAAAAAAATTCAATGGAGGTATGTCAAAGAGTGGCATATATTGATTAACAAAAACCGACTAATGAATCACGGATAAACATGAAACTCATTAAGCCAACAATGGTGGGCAAATATGATAACTGGACAAGGAAAAAACTAAAAAGACATTCTAAAGATAAATAGAAACATTATTCCTCGGATGAAGTTCACATGATTAAAGAAAGACCTTCTTAGCAATGAAAATCTGATACTCTAAATCATTACAGAATCTATAGATATTCACACAAGGAAATTAATGAGATCATTGTGCTCCAGTCAAAAAAGGTGAGCAGAAAGAGCCATTAGGTGATATGATTAAGAAAACATTCCATAGAAGCATGTGAAATCTAATCCTCTATGCCCATCCAAATGAATGGTCCCTACAGATTTCCCTTTGGCTGATTGTGACATTCATGACCAATCACAATAGTCTCACAATGAACTTCCAATCAAGTCCAATCAAAACAACTTCCATATTCCACCCATCAATTGGATACCTATCCTTCAAAGTCCAAAAGGGATTCTCAAATCTCAAGTCAAACTTGTTTATCGAAAGGGAAAACCACTTTTCCACAAATATGATCCCACACAATGCTCCAAACTTTACAGACTGTTTCCTAATAATGCCTTAAATAACCTATGCCAAAGGCTATGCGTTCATAGCCCTTGTTAAGTGATCAGAGTAGAGATTTGATGAGCAGTGGTCAAAGATTTTTAATGCAACCTCATCAACAGAAACGTAAAACTACAATAAAATAACCTGCAATGTTGGCCCTTCAATCCCTTCCTCTCCACAGCCTAATATATCATAATGGAATTGATTGATGAAGATGTACAAAGGGATCCAAGACAAATCCTCAAACCTGAAACTCATTCAGTATCCACAAAGAATTTGATTCAACCTCTTGCATATATCTTTCGAAAGGAAAAATCCCAGAGCATCATCCAAGGAGATGGCATAATTTAATTATTAAAAAAAAAAAAGTGAATCAGACCCAACAATATATTGCTTACTAAATGAGTTAGAGAACAAAACTGACACATACATGGCACAAATCTAAAACAGTGAAAACTAGAAAACATAAATATAAATTAGAAACCTGCAGGCCAGGGTGAAGTGTGAAAGTGCAATTAAGCAGTGGAGAAGTCAATGAGAAATTAAAAAGAATAATATGATTAAAAAAAACCTTAAAGAAAAAAAAGGAAAAATCATATGGGACTGTAGAGAGAAAGAAAGCAAAAAGGGGAGGGGGGGGACCCCACCATGAAATAACACCACCCTTAATTGAAACCGTTGCATGTCTTGGAAAATATAAAGTACCCATTATTGAAAGTGATGTAAAATTAAAACCCATTAGAGAATCGCCCAGAAATCGCGCAGCAAAAAGAAAGAAAAATAGCAGAACACGCGAGAGAGCTCTAGAACTGATGAACACGAAAGAGAAATAAAGATTCAATCACAAAGAACAAACAAGGAATCGGCGCAGAAAATGGAATCCATAATCAATCGCACAAAATCGATAAGCAAACGAAACCCAAATAAAAGAAGAAGAAGAAAAAGGAAAAGGCGTATTTGGGTACAGAAAACAAGTAATGTTTTTCTTTTTGGTGCGAGTTCGTTCTGTAGAGGAGGCAGCAAAGGCAAAGGCAACTTACGTAGAGAGGGAAACGGGGGTGGGCTGACAAAGGGGTGCCCTAGCCGTACGATTGGAGGACAAAGGGATCGTAGCCGTCAGATCAGAAAGAGAGAGAACAAAGAGAGAAAGTGGAAGTCTAATAATGGGAGTTATAGAAAGCAGCGAGAAAAAGAGAAAGAAGAAGGAAGATGGAGAAAGGCAAAGCAAAATCACACACGAATAAACAAATCCCTAAATTATTATTACCAAAATCAAAAACCCCATATCAAATAAAATCCATCTGATTGCTGCTTCGGCACAGAAAAGGGGGAAATCAAAAAAAATCAAAAAGCAAAATATAGGCTTTTCAAACAGTAGAGAGAGAGAGAAAGAAAAAAGAAAACAAAATTCTGCGTTGTTTTTCTTTAATCTGTGTGATAAGGGAGGAGAGAGAGCAAAAGCGTAACTTCTTTTTTTCCTTAATATCTGTAGAGAGAGAAAGATGAGGAGAGAGAGAGAGTCTGCAACAGCGGCAGAAAGGGAGCAGTGAGATAGAGAGAGAAACCAGAGAGAGAGAGAGAGAGATGGTCAAAGAGAGACAAATAAGTTTTATATTTATTTGTTTTTTATTTATTTTTTTACTTTTTTGGGAAATGGTTTATTAGTGAGGGGGAAGGGCACTTGTTCACAATGTCTTCTTATGGAACAATTTTTATTGTAGAATTTTTCTAAAAGATTAATTTGAATTTAGGTTTAAATAATTTTGGTGGGTCTGGTTTACTATAATACTTGTATTTTTGAAATGTATATTTTGATTCTTGTAATTTTAATTTTTGTTCATTTTTAATCTATTTATATTTGGTGTCAAGACGTCTGTTTTAGTCATGTACTTTAAAAATGAACTACTTGTATCCATATTTGAAACATTTTAATATACATATTAGAGTAATAAAAATCTTTTAATTTAAATTTGTGTATATTTCAAGAAATTTAGTAGAGTGTTATGGTAAAATTTTAATTGAAATAAATGAGATAAAAATATAAAAGTGAAAAAGATTAAAATAGATCACTTTTTTAAAGTGCAATGACTAAAATAAATGGTTCAAGATACATGGATTAAAATGAACAAAAATTGATCCATGGTTCTTTTTTTTTAAGTGTATGGGTTGGAGATCGAATTTTGAGGTTTCTTTAGAAAAATAACTACAATTAAATTGATGATTCCATAAAAATAAGACTTTTTTAAAATGGCTATAAAAAATAAATAAGTGCACAATATAAAATATGTGAAAAGTAAATTTAAAAATATTTTGGTGGTTTTTAATTTTAATATTTTAATTTTAAAATATGTTATTATCTTTTTTTAGTACAACATGTTGGGGGAGGGATTCGAACTCACAACCTCATGGTTGGAAGTATATGTCAATTATCGCTGAGCTATGCTCGCTTTGACACATATGTTATTATCTTGTTCGTTCGCTTTGTTTTTTTATTATTATTATTTCTAAGAATATTCGAGGAAGCCCTCTTCAACAAAAAAAAAAATTCTTAATTTTAGAAATATCGCTATCCAAATTAAATATGTTTTAGTATTAAAAAACAAACAATGATTTTAGAAAGACGAGAATAAACTTTTAATATTATTTCCAAACAATTAATAGCATTTTTATAATTGTGAAATATTATTTTATTTTCAAAAAAATTAATCATAAATATTCGAAGCATCCTCCAGGGATCCCCTCCTTAATTGCCGCATATTTCCTTTGCATGTTTCTCCACTACTTTATATGAACTTTTGCCCTTTTTGCAATTACTATCATACCCTTGGACGCCTCTTCCCTTCTTTTTCTTTTTTCATTTTTTTATAATTTGATTAAATTATAAAGATTTTAAACCTATGACCCAAGAGAAAGTTACAAATGATTTTACTAGATATTTTTTTTTGACAAAAATATTTTGATTAATTGAATTCTGAATCGAGTTAGTTGTTTCTACACTTTAAAAATCTTATATTCATTATTGATCATAGTGTTAAATACAAAGTAAAATTTGGATGGTATTAATGTAGAGACTAACAAGGTACATATTGTGAGGTCAACAATGTCTTTTTTTTTTTTTTGCCTATTAGCAACAAGACCCACAAAAGTTTATATGCAGTAACAACTTAGAAATTTTTAAAGTATAATAACGAAGAAGAAATAATGTAAAAATGCAGGAACAAGAGCAAAGACGATATAATTTTAAGTAAATAATTGGTCGAAGAATATTTGGATAGGGGTGTTTGTGTAAAAAGAGGAAGGATAAAGATGCAAATATAGGAAAGAATGGGGGCCTTATGGCAAGGGGAGAGTTATTGGAAGGATGGAAGATGGAATAATTTGGCTCAACAAGATGTGACCTTAAGCACAAAGGGTCATTTCATTGTTCCTTTGTGTATTTCTCTTTCACACAAATGGGGGGACCTTCATGTTCATGGCTTTTTATGTGTGATCCATTTGGAATACTATGCACACAAATATGTAAAATAATGATCAAACATCAATCTCTCTCTCAAAAAAAAAAAAAGGTGAACAATAGCCACTACTTTTCTCTACTTTCTTTTGTTTCATTGATAATTTCATGGTGTTTTTTTATTAAAAAAATTATCACGGGTATAACGTACAAATTCTTATAGAGAAAAAAGTCAGTCAAAAATTATCACGGTGTGTAAAGTACAAGTTCCTATAAGATATTATAACCATTTTAAATGTCGATAGTTTGATCCTCTACCTGCAAAACTCAAAAGAAAAAAAATATTCTAATTTTGAGTTGGGTTGGGAAACGGTATGTCACAAGTTAATCTTTAAATTGAGAAAGAAGGAAGAAAATAAATTTTGTTTTATTTCATTCTATACTTTCAACTATCTTTCTTCGTAGGTATGATTTAAATTTTTTTAAATAGTATAATAAATATGGGGTGGGAGATTGAAATTTCAACTTCAAAGAAAATAATGRATCTTATTTATTGAATTATGTTCAAACTACCTCAAAAAAAACTAAACTAAGTAGTTCCTATAAATTATACCTTTAGAAATGTAAGAATCAAATCCCTATCACTTTCTCTACTATTTTTTTCTTGAAATCAAATGTTCAAATCTTGATCTTTCACGTTTGTTCTAAAAAGATTGTTATATTTTAGGATTATGTCATGAAAGAAAAAAATTATGGGTGTTCGTGACAAAATTTAACCAACTTAAAAATATGATCATTACCAAAATTTTATAATGTGTGGTCTTGAGAAATTCAACAAATAATAATATGGTTGGTAAATAGTGCCAAATATTTTTTTTAACCTATAATCACATGTGGAACAATTCCAAACTTATTTCGATTGATTGAAATTGTCATAAATCACGTCCATTGAAACATGGCAGTCCAAAAGATTTGATTTTTGTTTTCTGTTTTCAAAATCAAATTTGCTTTCTCACAATTTTCCCCTACTTTTTTAAAGACAAATTCTATTTATCTAATTTTCAAATTATAGCTTAGATTTTTTTTAACTTGTTCAAATAGTAGATCACAATATAAAGTAACATGTCTTTTAAAAAAAAAAAAAATTAAGTAACAGGTAGGTAGTAATAGTATTTACAAACTTAATTTTTGAAAATAGAAAATAAAAAGCAAATAGTCATAACAATATGTCAAAGTTATCAAAAGAAAATATAATCATCAGAAACAATATTGTTTGTGAATAATTTTTAAATCATTAATAAACCATAACAATAACATATTAATATAATTATTGTTTATCGCGATGGGCATCGGAAAATTAAAGTTCAGGCTAGCCGCTACAATGGAAGGTTGAAATCATTTGCAAATTTATGGGAGCGTCTAAATGATTTTGCATCGGGTCAAATCTTGATCTAATGATCATAAAGTTGGTAGCTGGAACAAACCTATAGATCATATGACAAATAAGACATGGACCAATGTGCCTAAGGTAGCCTTTCATGACTTCCCACTTTTCATGGATGTCGAAAAATTTCTGGTGAGATTCCATTTACTTTCTCCATGAAAAAGAAAAACAGACTAAACTACACAGCTTTCTACGACTTGGTTGCTTTTCATCTTACCTAAAAGGCCATAGAAAGAA